AGTCAGAGATTTCCTGCAAAAAGAGACATTTAATGCTTTTTTTTTTTAAAAAAAAAAATTATTATTCACTTAATAGTGTTCATGTGATGCTATAGTGAGATAAGATTTCTATAAATTGGGAGGACTCGTGCAATGTGAACCAAACTTTACAAAACCAATTCTAAAACTTTCTCTTTCACTCACTTTTGATGTAAACCTCTCAAAGCTTTCCCAAAAGAAAGTTTTTATTGTAAGTTCAATTTCCTTTAATCATTCAATTTTTAATCTTTTAAGTTCTTTAATTAATCTCTTCAACATTCATCATGTTTGGTTTAATGTTTATTTAAGTTTTTATTTGTGGTCTTTGTTTCTTTAAATTTTTGTTCATCACTTAATCTAGTTCCAGTGCGACGCTGTCGCCGTTTTGTGTTCTCACTGGTATCTGACGACAACCAAGTTGATGAAATCGAAACCTCCAGTGAAAATGAAATAAATGTCTTAACCAAAGACCAATAATTCCTCCTAGAAGCTGTTAATAAAATTAATGATCCTCTTTTGAGAAAAGAGTATCTAGAGAGACTAAAAAATATATTCGAAAAAACTGATAGGAAAATAGAAACCCATAAGGCTTATAGTTTTCAAAATATTATTGACAAATTTGAAAAACAAGAAAAAAGAAAATTAACACTTGAAGATTTAACAAAAGAAATCCAACAACTAAAAATTAAATTTAAAGATTTAAAAGAAAAACAAAAACAACATTCGAAATTACTTGTTGCCAAAGAAAAAGATAAATCCGAAGAATTTGATGATGATGAAGATCATAATGAAGATTTCATAAATATGCTAACCCAAATAACTTATAAAAAATGGCATATTAAGATAAAACTCTTAATCAATGATGAATTTATCCTAGAAACAATTGCTCTATTTGATACTGGAGCGGACTTCAATTGTATCCAAGAAGGATTAGTTCCTACAAAATACTATGAAAAAACACTAGAATCTGCTAAGTCAGCCAATGGTTCAATACTTTTTATCAATTACAAATTATCAAATGTTAAAGTTTGTAATCAAAATATTTGTTTAAACACCTCATTTTTATTAGTAAAAATTTTGAGAAGAGTGTATTAGGAACACCCTTCATTAGTTTAATACAACCATTTAGTGTTGATGATTTGGGGATATCCACAAAAATAATGGGTGAAGTTCTTATCTTCAAATTTATACACAAACCCATCCGAAAAAAACCTTAATATTCTCCAAGAATACTCAGCATCAAAGAAAGAAATTAATTACCTTATCCTCTATAAACAAAAACATATATACTTCCTCCAAGAAAGAGTTAAAACTAAAAGAATTGAATCCCAACTTCAATAGAATGATATCTGCACAAAAATAAAACAAATACAAAAAACTATTGAAACTCAAATTTGCTCTGACCTACCTAATGCTTTTTGGGATAGAAAAAAAACATATGGTTAGCCTGCCTTATGAAAAAGAAATACCTACAAAAGCCAGACCAATACAAATGCATAAAGAATTAGAAGAACATTGTAAAAAGGAAATCAATGATTTTCTATAGAAAAAATTAATTAGGAAAAGCAAGTCTCCTTGGAGTTACTCGACCTTCTATGTTCAGAAAAATGCTAAACTTGAAAGAGGAGTTTCAAGACTTGTCATAAATTATAAACCTCTAAATACAGTCTTAAGATGGATAAGATACCCAATCCCAAACAAAAAAGATTTATTACAAAAACTATCCAATTCAAGAATCTTTTCTAAATTCGACATGAAATCTGGATTTTGCAAATTCAAATTAAAGCAGAAGATAGGTATAAAACCGCATTTACTGTACCATTTGGTCAATATGAATGGAATGTAATGCCCTTTGGGTTAAAAAATGCCCCATCAGAATTCCAAAGAATAATGAATGATATATTCAACACATACTCTCAATTCCTTATTGTCTATATCGATGATGTTCTTATATTTTCATCTAGTATAGATCAACACTTTAAACATTTAAAAACATTTATTCATATTGTCAAAACAAATGGTTTAGTTGTTTCAAAAACAAAAATAAACATTTTCCAGATAAGGATCCGATTTTTAAGACAAATAATCTACAATGGTACAACTATACCTATTCAAAGATCCATTGAATTTGGTAAAAAATTTCCTGATGTCATCACTGATAAAATCCAGTTACAAAGATTCGTAAGAAGTCTTAATTATGTAATGGATTTTTATCCTAAACTTAGTCAAATTTGCAAATCTTTATACGAAAGGTTGAAGAAGAATCCAACACCATGGACAAGCCAACACACTAATACAATCCGACAGATTAAAGCCCAAATCACCAATTTACCATGTTTGTATTTAGTAGACCCATTAGCCTTCAAAATAGTTGAAACAGATGCATCAGATTTAGGATATGGAGGTATTCTCAAACAAGTACAAGAAAATAAAGAATAAGTTATCCAATTTACTTCCAAATTTTGGAATGAAACTCAACAAAAATACTCCACTATCAAAAAATAGATTTTATCCATTGTCCTATGCATTGCCAAATTTCAAAGTGACTTACTCAATCAAAAATTTTTACCTCGTATTGATTGTCAAACAGCTAAACATGTTTTACAAAAGAATGTTCAAAACAAATTTTTGCAACATGACATTTTATGTGTGTTTGATTTTGACATTTAATACATCAAAGGAGAAGCTAATTCCCTGCCTAACTTCCTCACCAGGAAATTCCTTCAGGGGAGATAACCATCATGCCTCCCAAAAAGACTAACTCTCTAATCATACAAAAACAATCAAAGGCTTCTTATGCCCAAAAGCCCACAAACACCAAATCATGGTATGAATTCTTATGTGAAGAAGAAGCCCAAGAAAAGGCCCAACAATCAAAAGGAAAAGGCATAGCCTCAACAAGCTCTTCTCAGAGCTCAACAAATATAGAGCAAATCCAGAATGGGATCAGCTCTTTTCAGCAAAATCCAGAAGCAGCCTTAGCTATGATTGGGTTAACACCAAATTTACCAAAAAAAAAAAAAAAAAAAAAAGAGATTTTGAAATTTAAAGAACCTCAAACTGCAAAACTCAAGTTTTCATGGGCTTAGATCCTGAGATTCCAAGCAATAAATTGGGCCCATTTAGGCCCATTAAGGGGCTCCAATATGACCAAGATTGCTTGATTTCAATGACTCTTTAGGCCCATTTAGGGTTCCAATTTTATGTATTCACCAATATGAAGTTTTTTTTTTTTTTTTCCCATTTTATACAATAGAAAATTAAAAAAAATATATATATTATTATCTTTATTATGAAATATCCTATAACGATCCAAAGCATATTCTTTTTTTGGATAAAGTTATATAAGAGTATTGACCTTGTTACCAATATGTTGGTACATCTCTTATCAAGCTTAAAGACAAAATATTATAATATCTTTAAATTATATTATTAAATCAACTGAAATTACCATTAAAAATTTTATATTATAATAATTGTTTTATCATATTATTGGACAAGTAGTATAGTGGCTAGACATTATTAATCACATTAGTTAAGAATTCATATGTATTATGCTACTTGATTTATATGTATTATTTATATTCTAATGTGGTTATTGATGTATCAAAAATAAATTTAATTATGATTTATCGACTTTTTCCCACCCAAATAATGGTTTAATGAGACTTTTGGTCCAAACTGTTGGGAAAGTCTTTTGGTGGTTAAGATTGATTAGAATTTAACTTACGTGGGATGACTGTGTAAACCCTAATTGCTTGATTATCAACGATTAGAAGGGTCGGGAGGAGTAGAGTTTGAGAGGGTTTGGTAAATGATGATCGACGAAGAGAACGACGGTGGTGTAGGATCGCAACAATGTTAGAATCAGAAACATAATCTAAATTTGGATAATAAAATAATATTTTAAATGCTAGAATCAGAAACATAATATATATATATATAAGAATTATTTTGTTAATGCCTAAGTAATACGGTACGGACATATTAGTAATCATATCAAATGAGATATTTGTACGCGTAATATCTTTAGAAAATGTAACGACGGTAATAGTATTTTCCCCTATTGGATTCAAAATGCCACTTGAATTTATCAAGTTGTAACTTCATTTTCAGCCGACAACAAAACTCATGGTTGCAAAAGTTTTACTTCCTTTTTTTTTTTTTTTTAAAATAATAATAATAGAGAGAAAATTATTTAAATTGACAAATTCTTTTTTCATTTTTTATGAATAAAGTAAAAAGAAAAGAAAAAAAAATTCCTTTTAATTTATGTGGGCGATGTAGTTCTGCTAGAGAAAGATCATTCAAATGACAAAAATCCCAAGGTTAATTTGGTATTTTCCGAAGAGTCAAATCATAGAATCCAATCATTCTCTTCTTCCTTTCATTGTCATTACTTTCTCAAATCCTCCTACGCCACTGATATAATCCTCACAAATTACTGTGCATTGACCAAAATACCCCCACACTATTTTTTTTTTTAAAATGAATCCAAAACATTCCATTGTTATTCTACACTTAAAATAATTTTAATTGACATATATTTAATTTTCTTTTATAAACTTGCTTTATATAATATTTAAACTTTTTTTCAATTAAAAATACTTTTATTGTTAAAAATCCTTCAAATTTTGACTATAAATTGATTCAGATTCTTCATTTTAAAGAGTTAATTCGAAACAATCCTTTTAAATTTTATTCGATTCAATTTGATTTTCTATTAAAAGACATATTACCTTTTTATTCAATTCTTTTCAATTTGATTTTTGGATTCAAATGTTTTACATGTTATTTTTAGTACAAATTAATCCGATCTATTTAAATTCCTAGTCAATTTTATTCGGTTCGGTTCGGATCTATTTTAGTATTTTTCGTTAAAAAAAAAAAAAAATATATTTTCTGTAGACTTAAAAGACTCTAAAACTAAAGGGTATTTTAGTAATTTCCTATATCTCCCTCTTTTAAATCCACAAACCTCTCTCTTCTTCTTCACTAACTCTGCACTGAATCCACTGATCTCTCCGCCATCACCACTAATTTCTTATATCTCACCCTTTTAAACGCAATGTCTCTACTGCACCTCCAAGTCTCCTCCTCCTCCGCCGTCCGATCGCCGCCTTCTCTTCCGTATAAGTACCACACCACCGTTACCAATGCCAGCTCCACCCACTCTTCCTTCCCCTCGTCATCAAAGAGCTCCAAAAGCTCCTCGTTGGCAGTAGCCTCCTCATCGACGAAGCATCAACTCAAAAATGGTTCGAGTTTTAGAGTAAGGTCGAGCTTGGATACTGTAGAGCCCACTGTGGGCCAGGTCACCGAGGTTGACAAGGACACCTTCTGGCCCATCGTTAAAGGCGCCGGCGACAAGACGGTTGTTCTCGATATGTACACCCAGTGGTACGCTACTTATTTTATTTACTTTTGTGTAATTAATTATTTATCTGTAGATTTTTTGAAATGTTTGTTTTTTATTTATTATTATTTTTTTAAATTAAATTTGGTATGGTACGGGGAGGGTGATTGTGGTAAGGTTACCGGAATTAGGGAAGAAAGTTTATTATTTGAGTGAAAATAGTGCATCTATTGGAAATGTTATCTAGCATTCTCAATGTAATTTAAGAAGAAAGTATGTTATCTGGCCTAACCACGCCATTTTGTAGTCTTAGCTAAGATGAGCATACTTGGTTTTGTAGTCTTGGGCAAGAGAGGCGTAATATTATGTGTATGTTAGTTCGATAAAATTTTATCATGATAAGATTTTATTGGACTGACATGCAGATAGGGTTACACCTTTCTACCTAAGACTTCACGTAGGTATTAATTTTCTATGTAACAAGACTAGCTTATGGACTAGGAAAAATCATCATTTGAGTAATGCTATATTTTTCAAGTATGTATCTGAAGATGAAATAATAAGTGAGAACCGATACAACAATTGCTGTGGGATTGTAAATTAACAGTGACCTTTAATTATTGTCTTGCATCCGAACTTAGGATGTATAGTATATTTTTACTTTTGCAGGTCTTTACTTACGGTATTACTTGTGGTTTACTTGCTTATAGTTTGTGGGGGCGGTGATTTGAGTTAGTGTTACGTTTTTGGCCGAGTGAACTTAAAAATAAGGTAAGTTTACTTAGTTATGAAGGCACAAGAAGAAGAAAGAGAATGAATGATCTTGCTTGGCTATGCAGAAAGCACAAACTGCGCAAAAATTTACAGTTTTTATTGGTTTAAAAAAAATTTCCCTTCCCAGATTCAAAGAATTTTACTCTTTCTTCATGGGCAAGCTGGATTACTTTTTCGCCTCTCTTTTTCTTGGACCTTCATCTAGACATAACTTCGTAATCTTATTATATTTAAGTTGTTTCATCTCTATCAAAAAAAAGAATACTAACTCAACTCTTGCTCCATTGTGCGCGGGTACCATAGTAACTATGGCTGCATTTTGGAGTGGTTTTGTAGAATGAATTTTCGAAAGAAATAGATTCTTAAAAAGTGGAAGCTTTTTCTCTATCAAGTTTTTCTTAAAAAGTGCATTTCAAGTGAAAAATGCATCCACAAAGTACCTTGCAAACGCTCCCAAGTGCTTTTCCTCTCCCAAAAAGAATTTATCTATTTCAATGAAACGACACAAAATAGATATAGAAGCATTTTTGGGTTTCTGAAAACACTTTTGACAGTGCCAACTGCCAAAAGTATTCCCAAATACATTGGGTTAATTTGTTTTTCAAAAAATTTTAGCGCAAACAAGCACTGTGAAAGATGTTTTCAAGGTCCCAATTCCCAAAAGTGTTTTTGTGTCTCTTTGTAGTATTTGGTTTAAATAAACAAGAGAGTTTTTTGGTAGTGAGGAAGCACTTGGGAAGTTCTTTCAAGAAACTCACATAGCTCAAAAATGCTTCTTCGAAGATGCGTCAAATTCATGCCTTACATTCATGTTCGGATTGCACCAATCCGTAGCCTGTAAACAATTTGCAGTTGCAATTTACACAAAGGGGTTTGGTTAGAAAACAAGTTAGTTCATGTCATTGGCATGCTGTATTAAACATGAAACGTCACATTTGTAATATTGAACTTCCAGATTGTAACTGAATATCACCTCTAATGCTACAAATGTCAATGTTCAATGTTACATATCTGATGTTTCACGTTATAAAAATCTCATCTAGTAACGTTATCTCCATCATATTAGTGACGTCCTTTACTCAAGTTTTACCAAACTCCTCCTGGCGGGACTTAACCTTGGAGCTGAGGGCCAAGCTAATAGCTATATTCTTTATTCTAACACTGAAGATCACCATTATGCTTTTTTATGATTAACAATCTTCTTGAATAGCAGCTCTGCATAATTTTACTTATATTCTTATTTATTGCAGCTGGCGAAACATATGTGAGGTCTTAATCTATCGTGAATAACATTATTGTCTTCATTTCTGATATTTTTCTGCAGGTGTGGTCCATGCAAAGTCATGGCTCCAAAATATCAAGAGTTGTCTGAAAAATACTCTGATGTTGTCTTTCTAAAGCTCGATTGCAACCAAGAGAACAAGGTCAGTAGTTTGTTGCTACATATTTTATTTTTAATATCTTTATTATCAGTTCTGCGACGAGTTTATGTAATATGAAACGTCACACTTATAACATTGAACAAGTTAGGCTGATACTACGCATACAAATTGTTTCATACAAACTAACGTGACAGTACTGATGCGTTAATTTGTTGGAAAACAATCCCGATATGGTAGTAGCTACATGAAAAAGTAGTTGTTATATAAAACATCTGGCTTGAGGATCGGTGTCGGAGCATAGCCTTTTTCGTGTAGTGAAGTCGGACTAATATTATTCATACAAACCTTTTTATACAATCTGATGTGATAGTACAAGTGGGTTACATCTGTACAAATAACGTTATCCCGAAATGGTAGTGGGATATGGTTCTCTCTCACTTTCTCTGATGTATTTATAAATTTGAAATAGCAGCCACTGGCGAAAGAGCTTGGAATAAGGGTTGTTCCAACCTTCAAGATTTTGAAAGACAATAAGGTTGTAAAGGAGGTGACTGGTGCCAAATTTGATGATTTAGTTGTTGCCATTGAAAATGTTAGATCAAGCTGAAAAATTCGTCTTTCTACTTGTTTTCCCTGTAAACTATTAACACTATAATGAACAATATGTGGACTTGATGTATGTATTTAGCTCAAGTTGAAATACTGGAAAGAAAATTTGCTTATGTACGTATTCATACAGCCGACAAGATACGGTAATGCTGAAAGTTTATTTATTTATTTCTTTGTGATGAGGGGTATTCGGGCCAGTTTTGGTGTATTTCAACTAATTTTCGGAGTTTGAAGTTAACAATCGAGTAAATCTATCAGTGGTCAATATTATTAACAATTATGGGTAATCGAACTTAAAACCTTTTGAGTAATACATTTACGCGACCACTCCAATGATTAGCGTTGAAAGTTTATCATATATAACAAATGTATTATGGTGAACATTGAACCAATAAATGACGTTTTTAGATAAATAACAAAACCATTTTTGGATTTAACTGTAGAGAAAGTTTATGATAACAAAAAGTATTATATTAACGGTATTATAAGTTAATACATTCATGATATATAAGTATTCAATTTAAGAACGATTTGATTATAATAATTATAAAGATTTGATTATATTAATTATAAAGATAAATAAGATGAAGAAAAAGAGTTTATATGTGACATAGTCCGTTTGTTTAAGTTTTAAGAATAGTATTTTATTGTGAATATGATTTAATCAAATATGATATGATTTTATAATGTGTTTGATATATTTTTGGAAAACATTTTTTTAAATTATTTAGAATATTTTTTAATCTCCTATATTTGTTAATTTAACTGAATACTTCATATAATAAAAGCTTATAAATTAATAAAAACATCCCTTCCACCCAACTATTGTTGGTAACCAACCACCACCCTCGGACGGTGGTTGGAAGTCGCTAGAATGATGAACAACCGACTAGATGTGGCCAATTGTGCGTTGATATAGTCGTTTCTAGCAAGATTTACCATGAATTTGATAGGAAACAACCATATCTTTAACCGTAGATCTGGATAATAGAATATAATTGGATAAGATAGTAGAATATGATAGAGTTTGAAAAGTTAATCAAAAAATGATAAATTATAAAATAGTTGATATGGTATTATCTGATAGTTAAAATATTTTCTTAAAAAAATTGTGGAATGAATTTAATAAAATTCAATCTAATTAATATCATATCATATAATAAAAGGTATAAGATTATTTGTTTAATAAATTATGTACCGACAATTAGTAACATATGAAATGAGATATTTGTATGCGTAATTTTGTTCAAATAACACGTAATAGTATTTTCCCTATTGGATTCAAAATGCCACTTGAATTTATCAAGTTGTAACTTCATTTTCAGCCGACAACAAAACTCATGGTTGCAAAAGTTTTACTTCCTTTTTTTTTTTTTTTAAAATATAATAATAGAGAGAAAATTATTAAATGACAAATTCTTTTTTCATTTTTTATGAATAAAGTAAAAGAAAAGAAAAAAAAATTCCTTTTAATTTATGTGGGCGATGTGTGCTGCTAGAAAGATCTTCAAATGACAAAATCCCAGGTTAATTTGGTATTTTCCAATCGAAATCATAGAATCCAATCATTCTCTTCTCTTTCATTGTCATTACTTTCTCAAATCCTCCTACGCCACGGATATTCCTCACAATACTGTGCATTGACCAAATACCCCCCACTCAATTTTTTTTTTTTTTTTTAAATGAATCCAAAACATTCCATTGTTATTCTACACTTAAATAATTTTAATTGAATATATTTATTTTCTTTTATAACTTGCTTTATATATATATTTAACTTTTTTCAATTAAAAATACTTTTATTGTTAAAAATCCTTCAAATTTTGACTATAAATTGATTGATTCTCATTTAAGAGTTATGAAACAATCCATTTTAAATTTTTCAGTTCAATTTGTTTTCTATTAAAAGACATATTCCTTTTATTCAATTCTTTTCAATTTGATTTTGGATCAAATGTTTACATGTTATTTTTAGTACAAATTAATCCGATCTATTTAAATTCTATCAATTTTATTCGGTTCGGTTCGGTCTATTTTATATTTTCGTTAAAAAAAAAAAAATAATAATATATAGGTAGACTTAAAAGACTCTAAAACTAAAGGGTATTTTAGTAATTTCTATATCTCCCTCTTTTAAATCCACAAACCTCTCTCTTCTTCCTCCACAACTCTGCACTGATCTCTCCGCCATCCCACTAATTTCTTATATCTCCCTTTTAAACGCATGCTCTACTGCACCTCCAAGTCCCTCCTCCTCCGCCGTCCGATCGCCGCCTTCTCTTCGTATAAACCACACCACCGTTACCAATGCCAGCTCCACCCACTCTTCCTTCCCCTCTCATCAAAGAGCTCCAAAAGCTCCTCGTTGGCAGTAGCCTCCTCATCGACGAAGCATCAACTCAAAAATGGTTCGAGTTTTAGAGTAAGGTCGAGCTTGGATACTGTAGAGCCCACTGTGGGCCAGGTCCACGAGTGTACAAGGACACCTTCTGGCCCATCGTTAAAGGCGCCGGCGACAAGACGGTTGTTCTCGATATGTACACCCAGTGGTACGCTCTTATTTTATTTATTTGTGTAATTAATTATTTTCTGTAGATTTTTTGAATTTTTGTTTTTTATTTATTTTATTTAAATTAAATTTGGAGTACGGGAGGGTGATTGTGGTAAGGTACCGGAATTAGGGAAGAAAGTTTATTATTTGAGTGAAAAGTGCATCTATGGAAATGTTATCTAGCATTCTCAATGTAATTAAGAAGAAAGTATGTTTCTGGCCTAGCCACGCCATTTTGTAGTCTTAGCTAGATGAGATACTTGGTTTTGTAGTCTTGGGCAAGAGAGGGTAATATTATGTGTACGTTGTCATAATTTTATCATGATAAGATTTTATTGGACTGACATGCAGATAGGTTACCCTTTCTACCTAAGACTTCACGTAGGTTAATTTTCTATACAAGACTAGCTATGGACAGGAAAATCATCATTTAAGTGCTATATTTTTCAAGTATGTACCTGAAGATGAAATAATAAGTGAGAACCGAACAACAATTGCTGTGGGATTGTAAATTAACGTGACTTTAATTATTGTCTTGCATCCGAACTTAGGATGTATAGTATATTTTTACTTTTGCAGGTCTTTACTTCAGGTATTACTTGTGGTTAACTGCTTATAGTTTGTGGGGGCGGTGATTTGAGTTAGTGTTACGTTTTTGGCCGAGTGAACTTAAAAATAAGGTAAGTTTCTTAGTTATGAGGCACAAGAAGAAGAAGAGAATGAATGATCTTGCTTGGCTATGGAGAAAGCACAAACTGCGCAAAAATTTACATTTTTATTGGTTTAAAAAAAATTCCCTTCCCAATTCAAAGAATTTTACCCTTTCTTCATGCAAGCGGGATTACTTTTTCGCCTCTCTTTTTCTTGGACCTTCATCTAGACATAACTTAGTAATCTATTATATTTAAGTTGTTTCATCTCTATCAAAAAAAGAATACAACTCAACTCTTGCTCTCATTGTGCGCGGGTACCATAGTACTATGGCTGCATTTTGGAGTGGTTTTGTAGAATGAATTTTCGAAAGAAATAGATTCTTAAAAAGTGGAACTTTTTCCTATCAAGTTTTTCTTAAAAAGTGCATTTCAAGTAAAAAATGCATCACAAAGTACCTTGCAAACGCTCCCAAGTGCTTTTCCTCTCCCAAAAAGAATTTATCTATTTCAATGAAACGACACAAAATAGATATAGAAGCATTTTTGGGTTTTGAAAACACTTTTGAAGTGCCAACTGCCAAAATTATCCCAAAACATTGGGTTAATTTGTTTTTCAAAAATTAGCGCAAACAAGCACTGTGAAAGATGTTTTCAAGGTCCCAATTCCCAAAAGTGTTTTTGTGTCTCTTTGTAGTATTTGATTTAAATAAACAAGAGATGTTTTTGTATGAGTAAAATATATTCAAAAAGGAATTACAACTAATCTTTTGGTTTTTAAAGAAGGATATGATTTTGAAAACCTTAAACAATTAGTTCAACAAATTTTTCCAAAAAAAATTCATTTTATCCCTGAAGATTTAAGGAAAACTCAAAAATTTTATGAATTTCTTCTTGTTGATTCTGACTCTTGTGAGTTTAAACACTATAAGGATAAAAATCAACCAGGATTTATCACTCATTCAACCTTTCATATTATGAAAATCCTTAGTCCTTCTGATTGGGGATCTAACCCAAACCAATTCAAAAAAATTTCCCAAAATTTTGATCCGCCTGGATATAATTACTATCTATATATATAATGTTGTCAATGTGAAACTATAGAAATTTAAGCACTTGCTTTGTAATATGAATTTTTAATGATTTTCCCAATTAAATTATATGCTTTGAATACTCCAAAATTTTAGCAAATTAATTATAGATTTTGCCTATAATTTATCCAATGATATATATATGGATTTTATTTGGAAAATAATAAGAAAGTCCCTTTGTCCCAAAATAATAGTATGCCTTGGAATGATGTGGAATGTTTAGGAAGAAACATACAAATACAATAAATATAATTGCTTGTGATCTCCACTATGTTGTAGTGTGACATTATATTATATAACGGAATGTTGATTATAACAAGATAAGAATATATATAATTATTTAATTTGATGAGAAAATATAAAATATTGATAGGGATACTATGTTACGAGCTGATAAATTTATGCTTTAAATGAGCTTTATATCCCTTATTTTTCTCTACAATTAATATGATTAGTATTACTTAATGATCAACGAGATGATTCATACTTATCAGCTTTTGATACACGTGGTATCATAGATCCTTAAAACAAAAGTGAAAAGAAATTATGATATAATTTTAATAATCTTAATGAAAATTATATTGAATAATAGATGTCGGATAATATTTTTTCGACATCTAATTTTATATCTAGAATTGATATACTAAAAGTTATAACCATCTCAAACAAAAGCCTAAGCACGAACCAAGCGATAATTACCAAATTACCCTCATGTTGCAAAGTTTCAATGTTTCATGTGATGTAATGGAACCTGGAACCATCATATTCTTCTAGTTCTCTGCAAAACTCAAGTTTTCATGGGCTTAGATCCTGAAATTCCAAGCAATAAATTGGGCCCATTTAGGCCCATTAAGGGCTCCAATATGACAAAGATTGCTTGATT